TTCCAGTGAAGATTGGTGTTATGTTGGCTTCATGCCAAAATAAAATTAGCATTTAGTGATACGTGTTCATGGAAATGAGTTGGTGTCTCTGTGGCTTCAAGCTTAACAAGAAACTTTGAAAGACAGCATGACTGGAGCCAACTTAGCTGCCACTAGGGAGTGAAATGCAGGCCTTCAGAGCTGATGGCATGAGTCTTTACTAGAGATACACCGATATAGTGGTGTCATATCAGATTGGTACTGATAAAGGGAAAATTAACGTTATTGGCTATCAGCTTTTTTGGGCTGGCCAATAATGTCACTGATTGAATACAATATGCCTTCTGGCTGTGGCCAAGAATGCAGCCAGCAGGTAAGTCTGTGGAGGGGAAGAGACATGGGGGAGGGAAGGGGCATGGGAAGGGCAGATCATGGCCTCCACAGTGAGGGAGGGGGTGGGGCTAGGGGCACTGCCTAGTCAGGGTGGTGAATGGGACCCGGGGCTGGGGCAGGGAGCAGGACGGAGCTGCGGGCAGCTTATCCAGGGGGCGCAGGAGGATGGGGAGTAGAGGCGGCTCCCTGCCGCTGCACACACCCCCTGGGGGAGGCAATATGCCCCCCCCCAGATTTGTGCGTGGGCAGGTGCAGGCTGCCTACTGTGGGCTTAGGTCTTCTCTGCTCTGCTGCCTTTGCCCTGGGAGGCTGCGCAGCAGTCACACATTCCCCTGCCCACGTGGCAGCAGTAGGAGGGCAGCAAGTTTGTGCCTCCTGCTGCTGGGTGGGCAGGGGACATGCAGCTGACACAGGGCCTCCAGAGCAAAGACAGCAGGGCAGAGAACCCCGATCCCACAGTGGGCAGCCCACATTCACGCTCGCTTGCTTGGCTCTGCTCCAGTTAAAAGTGTCCCCCGCTTAAAAATGGTGGCAGCAGCACTTGAACTAAAGCTCATTTAATGAGCTTTAGTTCAAGAACCCCTGCTGCCATTTTTAAGCACCAGGACGCTGATCCCCTGGACGAGCTGCCCACGGCTCTTTCCCACTTTCCGCCCCTGCCCCAGGTCCCATTCACTGCCCTGGCTGGGCAGCACCCCCAGCCACAGTCCCTGCCCCTGCCCCACTCCCTCCCTCAGCATGTGGGCCTTGATATGTACCCACCATGTCCCTTCTCTCCCCCATGCCCCTTCCACAGACTTACCTGCAGGGTGCTTCTCTCCACGTTACCCAGCTGCTTTCCTGTAAATCTGTTATTGGATCAATATTGGCCGATGTGGCTGGTTAATAATCAGCAATCAGTGTCAGCCAAGAAAATCTTTATTGATTCATCCCTAGTTTTTACAACTGAGTCAGTCAGGCTCATGAGCTGGTGACTAACAGACTTGCATCCTCTGTAGATCAAGCATAGAGTACAGTGGTGAACATGCACACTAATATATCATTATATTAGCAAAATCATAGCTAGCCCTTGTATGAAAGTGGAGCTGAGGAACGCACAGTCAAAATCATTGACTGTTTGTGAGATTGTAAGCAGGACTGACTTCCAGCGATAAAGGAAAGGAAACGAGAAAAAGAGTAGTGGGATGGTAAATAATGTTGGAATGTATTATCTAAAAAAAAATCCAGTCTTTTGAAATGACAAGAAAGCTGTTTTTCTCTCTCAAATTCTTTTATATAGAGAATGTAGTGAACTGTAATGCTTTTATGTAGTCTAGTGCATGAAGCTTAAAACTGGGCTCTTCTCTTCAGAAGACGTTGTGTTTTTGGCTGTATCAGACCATATTTTATGACGGGGCTCAATTTTAGACTCAATTTAAGTCTTTTTAGACTTAAATTGCTTAGAGCAGGTAGGGATTTCCTGTGTGTTAAAAAACAAAATAAAAAAAACCCTGTACACCTTTTGGCATACATAAATTGGATCCAGCATAAATTCATGGCTCATGGAGCACCACAACTTAAAGGAATAAAGAAAAAAAGGGTCTGAGCTGTTCAGGAAAATCATTTCTACATGAAATGCTGTGTAAGAAATAGAAATGTAGGGTGTGTACACTGAGACAAATATACGGTATGTTAACAAATAAAAATATCTGCAACCTGGGATATCTTAAATAGTGTTTTTAAAGACTTGCTTAAAGTAACTGATGGTTATGAATGACCAAAGGTATAATAATATGGAATGGTAAATGCATGTTCAAGCAGTATTTGATAAAAACAATGACACTGTCTAGAACATGTTTCCCCCTTTCTTAAAAAAAACCTGCATAGGTCTGAAAATGTTTGTTTAAAAAACAAAGCACTTGAAATGCACAAATTGGCTTTGCTTGCATTTTAAGATCATGATTTTCAAAAGACTCTAAAAGTCTCTCTCTGACCTTGCATCTATGTATGATTTTGGTAACAGGTAATTGTGGGCATGTTTTAGAACCCTAACCACTGCATTTTCAGGTATTTAGACATTTTAGTTATGCATCTGTGTAATTACCCTATTTGTCCCTGCAAATATTTATGACCACAAAATACAGTTGTAATCGTATCCTAAATGTTGTTAGCTTTAGACTTTGAGAAGAGTATTTTTAGATACATGGGTAAGTGACCAAGAACAGTTTTACTTTTTCACCTTCTTTACAATGTAAAGTCATCACACTGTTAGTAAATAAGTCAATAACAAAATTCCTTTTGTAACTGAATATCAGTTTTACATATTTAATCTCATTGTTCAAATACCTGACAAAATGTATTCAGGAATAACCTTCAAGCAATGATGAAGCGAAGGGTAAATGGTTGATATTTGCAATTTTATGCAGGCAAAGTTCCCCCGGGAAAACCAGTCCCTTAGTTTTTGAGCTAGAAAAATTCTGTCTAAGAAGAGTTTAAAAGAAACTAGTTTACCTTGTCCATTGTTTTGGGAACCCACAATTTATTATTTGAAAAACAAGAAAGATGGTTCCCTGTCATGTGTGAATAAATGTCCCAGCACCTGGTGAACTCTAGACATCAGTTTATCATCATAAACTACAATTGTGTTTATTGCAGTAGTGTTTAAAGGCCAAATACGAAAGGGACCCTACTGTGCTAGGCACTGAACAAACATAGGGTAGGTGACAGCATGTGCCTTGAAGAGTCACAATCTAGAACAGTGGTTTTCAACCTTTTTTCGTTGGTGGATCCCTAAAAAAAAAAAAATTGAATGGAGGTGCAGACCCCTTTGAATTGTAAGTGTGGGCATTCACAGATTTTTAATTGATCATATAGTCATCTTTCATAGACCCCATAGACATAGTCTGCAGACCCCCAGAGGTCTGTGGATCATAGGTTGAAAATGACTGATCTAGAAAACAAGACCGGCATGGGTGAGGGAAATGTATGTAATGCACAGCGTGAATAATGTGATGGCCTGTCTTTTGTGGGTTTAGCTGGGAGGAGATCAGGTAAATTAAAAGGAAAATGAAGGCAGAGGGAGTATGAAAGTGAGGAGGAGAGGGCAGGGGACAAGGGAATAAGAAGTCAGGAGTACTGACAGGAAAGGGCTGGGTAGATGGGATAGGGGAGGATTGTTTCTTTTCTCCAGTCAGTGCAGGGCAGAGTCGTCCATTCAGCACTATAGAAAGTAGGCTTTACCATATTTTTCCTGTTCAAATAAGTATTCTCTTTCTATTGAGGGGCAATGTCACTCTTCAAGATACCTTTTTAAAAAGAGATTATGGACTCTTAAAGCCTCATACAAAGTTTTTGTACCTGTCCACAGTGCTGCCCACAGAATTTCTATCTGCCCATGCCTGAAAAACTTCTAAGTCAGGCACCTATCCCTACCTGATGCTCACATACGTCTTTGCAGCTACTGAATTTGGTTTCATGGCTATTTTATGTTTTTTGTATTTTAAGCAAACGCAATATATCTCTATTGTGCTTTTAATGTTAAAGGGAAAATTAGTCATTCTTTTTTTTATATAAAGTCTGTCCATGACATAACATCAATCAGCCAATTTGGGGCCTAGAATGGCAGTCCCAAAACAAGACATCACATCAAGTAAGTGTTGTTCATCCTACAGTTCTAGTAGGATTATTCTGTGTCTAACTGGCTCAATGTAAAATATGATTATTCTTGTCTACACTGATTACAATGTCATGTTTAGCTTTGTGTTACTTAATGACTCCAAGGTTGTGTCACAATACAATTTAACTTTCTAATGAAGATTAGCTTGTCCCAAGAAGCCCAGGCTTCAGTATCAGAGGCTGCAGAAATTAGAATTTTTCTTCTAGAAGTGTTTTCTCTGTATCTGTCACACCTGTCTAGAGTGACTCTTTCTGAAACTTTAGATATATTTACCCCAACTTACAGTACCTAACTTCTTATGGACCTGATCCTATCCCTACCTAAATAAATGGCAAAACTTCAGTTGTGTTCCTGGGTACAAAAGTAGTCTCTTAGGCAGTTTGTGTTTTAGGGTAAACATTGCTTGTACTTTTTAAGCAACTGCGAGGTTAATTTGTTTTTTACTCAGGAGCAGAAGCTTATATCTACTTGAGGGACCCAATTTACCACTGTAGTTAGGTGGGTACCATTCATTTAAGGAAGTGAAGTGACCCTTATCCATTTCTACCTGCCCTGAATTTGGCCTGATTGGTTAATTTTTTGAGGATTCACATTTTAACACTTCTCTTTTTTGAGTGCTATGGAAGCCTTGTTTTGGTTTTTAGGAAAAAGGGAGAGAAAGATGAAGAGTCTTCAGCACAAAATGCTGACAGTTGGATAAAATGTGATTGGTGCTGGTATATAGCATTCATATGACAGTAGTGGCTTTATGTAAAAAGAAATGAGAAATAGCCATTTCAAAATGGTAATGGTAAAATTGTCATGGAGAAATTAATCATGAAGGAAAATGCGAAAATCCCTAAAAACATCTCCATTAAAATGTCTTTTAACCACATTATACTGATATGTTAACACAAGACACGAGAAAGTGAAGCTAAAAACAACATAGGACTTTCTTTCAAATAACTTTGTTTCCTAATGAATCTGTCAACAGAGAAAAGTGTGCCTTCTTTAGTGATGACAGCAGACTCTGGAAGAAGAATAGACAGTGAGTCAAAGCCAGCCTGGATTACAATAGCAAGACAGAAGCAGAGGGGTATGCAGCAGGAACAAGAGCTTAATACAGAAGAGAAACTTGTGGTTCAAGATATGAAATCAGAAACAGAAAAAGCAAACCAGGAAAAGGAAAGAACAGAGGTACTTTACAGTGCACCTGTGTATAATGGTTTTCTGTAACATTACTGTTGTAACCTTTGTTTGAATCAATTGTTATTATATCTGTAAAAAATCTTTAATGATTATGGTACTTAACTACTGGGAACTCCAATCCTGCCAGCATTTGTACACATACATACATACTCCTGTGTGTGTGTGTGTGTGTGTGTGTGTGTGTGTGTGTGTGTGTGTGTATATATATATGTGTGTATATATATATGTGTGTGTATATATATATGTGTGTGTATTTATCTGCATGACGTCCATGGGGTTACTCCCTGCATTTTTAAAAAAGATAGAAAAATTACCTTTGTGCCAGCTGTTTATGCAACATGAGGCCAGTGTACTGAAGTCTGTTCATCTGATGTGATCTGTATAGTCCTGACTGAGGGGAATCTTTCTTCTTTTTTTTAGTGTTTTGTTTTGTTTTTTAATCCAAAAACCCACACATTTCATTGCTAACCTAAATCCTCTTAGCCAAAGATACCAAAGATCCAGCCTGCAGAGCCCTATCATCCAGCCTGCAGTACTGTCTGTGCGTATCATCCTGGCCCTGGGTGCCACATGCAACACATGCTGACCTCAGCCCCAGCCCTGTGGGCTGCCTACAGTGCCCTGCCTGCCTCCAGAGCCCATCTGGTGCAGTCTGAACACAGTGCGGGGGTAGATGATATACCCACTACACATAGTAAGCAGGACCACTCTGGGACACATGCTGTATGCAGTGCACACACTGGACTGGCCCTGCCCGCTGGATCCAGGCCAGTCCAAATCAGTCCCAGAGACCAGCTACGTGTATTGGATCCAGCATGCAGAGCCAGTCTTATGTGGGCACCATGTGCAGCCTGCACTCCAAACCAGCCCAGTGCACCTCATGCCCACTATGCCACACAAAGTCTGGGGCCAGTCTGGGGTGTAGGCTGCATGTGGCACCCATGCTAAGCTGGCTCTGCACACTGGATCTGGGGCTGGTTCATATCAGAGCAGCCCTACATGACAGATACAGCATGCAGGGCCAGTCTGGCATGGGTGCCACTCGTAGTACACACCCCAGATAGGCCTTGTGTGAAGCACACACCCCAGACCTACACCCCGTACTGCAAGCAGGGTTGGAGCTGGTACACATGCTGCAAGCAGTGTCCTGCATGCAGTGCCCATACTGGACCAGTCCTGCATGCTGGATCTGGCTCATAGGGCTAGTCTGTGGACACAATCTGGCCTGCAGACTGGCCCATGAGTTTGACATCCCTGCTCTAAGCAATTTAAGGCTATGTGCACAGTTTGGTTGAGAGAGCAGGGAAGACTCCTCAGGTGCTGGTTGCTGAGGCAAATAGTGGGATAATGACCCACACCTGCCTAGCCAGCTGAAGGAAGGGGCAGGGCCTGACTCCTATATAAAGCACAGGCAGGAGGCCAGAGGCAGTTGGCTACCAGCAGCTAAGGAAGAAGGGGCTCCCTGCCGGAAAAGAGAAGCCAAGCCTGAATGCCAGAGCAGCGTTGGTCACCGCGATGGGATAGAGAACCCCGGTAGGACTGAGCGTAGTTATGGCTGGAGGCTTATGTTTGTGTTATAGCCCAGGGGCTTGTGTTTATGTTACTGTTTGTTAGACCGGTGGTTTGGGTGAGGCTATTAGGGGTTGGAGAAGGCCTCATAGGGGACTCACTGTAGAGTGGGGACCCCAGCACCAGTGAGGGCGCAGTATTTGGGGTGCATAGACCCCAGCCCCAGAGAGGGGCAGCTGAGAAGCCCCAGAGAAAGGGGACATTGCTGAGCAGCCGTGCGGGCGTGGGGAGCCCCAGAGAAGGGGGCAGCCTTGTGGTGAGCCCGAGGGACAGGGCGGCGTTACTGAGAAGGCCCGAGGGACAGGGCAGCATAGACTCGAGAGAAGGGCGCGGAAAGAGAGAGAGAGAGAGAGAGAGAGAGAGACGGGACTGCAGAGAGCCCAAGTGCCAGAGAGGGCGTGAAGATGGAGAGAGGGACAGAACAACGTCCATTATATCTGCGAGGCTTGGGGCGTGGTATTGGGGTGGTAGGAGCCACACATAGCCCATAAGGCTTGGGAGCATGGGACACCCATGACAGGAGAACCGTGGCCAAGAGGACAGAAGGTAGCCTCCCTATAAAATATATAAAATCAAAGACGTGGCGGGCGAGAATCGGAGGGTGCAAGACGGCCTCTTGGCACGGTAAAGGAGGCGGCAGGGGAGAGCACGGCGACCCTGACCTCCCTCCTGTTACAGGTTCCAGAAGCTCCTAGGTAATAGTTTTTAGCATCTGAAGAAATTAAATGAGATGAAAGTAAATTCTCCAACACCAACAGACAATATCAAAATCTAGATTTTGAATCTTTGCACAGCAGTAAATCGACTTACTTGTGGTGATACTGGATATTGGCAGGCACTGCCTTTTAAAATAACTTATACTGAATATTCATGTATATACCACAGACTGCTGTCTGCGCTTAGTAGAGTGTGAAGAGGTGTGATCTCCAACCAATATAGCTGTGCTGGCACAAGCCCATAGTGTAGGTGCAGTTACCCTGCCAAAATCTCACTATTACTGTTTGGATTGTTTGAGGGGAGCATGTGGGGATATATATGTCTCTACTATCCCAGGACATAGTACACTTTTGCTGGCACGTTTGTGTCCACATTAGTAGCATTTTATTTTTATGAAATACTGGTATTCCTGTACTGATGGAGTACAGGTCATGGTTGTCTCCTGTTAGAAATCGGCATATCATATTCTAAACTAAAAAAGCTCTCTCCAAATGATAAAAAATAATTAATATTGATAGTTGGATTGATGACAAAAGTTTCCTAATGTGGTTTCCAGATAAGATTAAAACCATAATAGAGTTTGAGAATATTCATAACAATTAAGAGGAGGAGCTAAATCAACCCTATGTGAGGAATGTCGAAGTACAAAAAGCACCAGATTTTAGTTTTCAGTGGTTCCTGCAAATTGTGCCATCCAGATTGGTTCCCATCCAATCATGCCCCTGCATTTCTTCCACTGTAAATCTTTTTTATGACAGCAAGACTTCTTTCAGGGCAACATGTCTATACATGCAATTAATGTACATGAATAATGTGCTGATTGCTCCGGAGTTTTTTGCTCCCAGATGCACCATTTGAACATGCACCCAGGAGCAGTTAATCCCAGAGCAATTGACTTTGGAGTTTATTCATGAGCACCACGTGGAACCAGGTCAGGGCAGTCGCGGCTGACAGGGGGCCTTTGGAGTCAGTCTGCCAGCCCAGGACTGCTTCCCTCAGCTCCACCTGCTGTGGTAGGGCTTGCTGGGGCATGAGGGAGCTTCAGCATGGGACTAACCAGCAAGCAGCACCTGCACTGAAGAACCCTTGTGCCCCAGCCAGCCCAGCCAGTGTTTACATGTACGCTGCTATGGAGTTTTTTACTCTGAAGCAGGATAGTATAGTTTACTGCAGCCTAATAGTTGTGTAGGTGTAGACACAAGATGTTTACTGCACAGCTAATTAGTCAACTGTGCAGTAAACGTATCATATAAATATGACCCCAGAGATATACCCCAGTGTAAGAAGGCCATATAAACTCCTACTTTTAGGGCATTTCAAAGCATAAACAGGAGAACCCCAGGGAGAATGCGCTGACTTGGTTAGCATTGCATTCCTTACCGTCTGAAGGAATTCAAACCCTGGAATCCCAGCTCTGCCTCCCTTCCCCCTGACCCCAGTCACAGACCCCCTAATCCCATAGATTTGGGGAGAAGGAAAGGGAACATACTGTTAAGTCAGAGATCCCTGGCATGCACCCAAAGGTATTTTCTGCCAGGCTAGACTGCTATATTCCTGTCAGCATACAGATGGTGGCATAAATTTCCAGTGAGGGTAACAACCTGTCCTTCCTTATAAATAGGGCAAAGTAAAAAGAGAGCCTGTACATTGTAAAATTCCCAGTGCAAGCTTTTAGAGTTTTATGAACTGATAGCTCAAGTGGCATGAATGGAATAAGTGCATGATGAATGTTTTCCATTGTTATGGAGGAGCATCCTCTATTTCTGTGTTGCTTGTGTTTTTTCTGGATTTCTCCTGCCATTCCTTTCTCTGTGAATTATTTAAAATAGATCTACCTGTTTTCCCCTAATCCCCTTCTATAATAGGGGTCAGTGAAGCAACAAACAGATTCCATCAGGAACAAATTTTCAGATTCAGCCACTACTTCTGAAGAACAGAGGAAAGAAACAAAGTCTGACGTGAAAGAACCACTGCCAAGAGCCAGCTTGCTGTCGCATCATGTCTCTGGTATGAAAACAAATAATTGAAGTACACACACAAGCTGTGTCTACATCACTGATTCTCAGCCAGGGTACTGTGGCACCCCGTGGTGCCTTGAGATCTTTCCAAGGGTATAGCAGGGTGCCATAGACTGCACTGTTAGGTGTGCAAACATGATTCATAAAATAATCCCAGAGATTTGAAATAGAAATCCATAGGGTGAGTTATCTGCAAAACAAGAATTGCACTATTACTTTTTCTTGTAGTCAAAAAATAAATGAAAACTCAGGGCTGGCATTTTTCAAGGGGTGTCTCAAGTCTATGGAGGGGTGCCTTGAATCTAAAAAAGGTTCAGAACTGCTAGTTTACACAGTACACTTACCATCCCCAGTAAGCATCTTCAGGTACACTGCACTGCTCCAGGCAAACTGCTGCCTAAACCAGAAGAAGTGTAGCCAGTCTTCACAGTACTTGAGAAGTCAGCTATTTGGAGCAATCACTCAGCAGTACTAAGTGACTCAGATGAGCAAAACAACCATGTGCTTTAAGTGTTGGCAAGATCAGGGTCATCGAGCTGGTTATTTCTCCTATTTACTTCTGGTTCCAGCTAGGACAGGTATGCAGCTATTTGTTTAACACCAACTTCTGCAGTTTTATTTGGGGGAATTCAAATATTATAAAACCCTAAGTCTGTCTGTTAGTAATGCTTGGTTTGCACAATGATTGGCTGATGGAAACAGCCAATCAGAGTGCTCCAAGTATGGGAGAGCACTCCCATGATTGCGAAGCTGCTCCGAGGACTGGACAGAGGGTCGGGGAACCGAGGCCAGCAACACTGGCCTCGGCTCCCCTACCCCACTCCTTGCAAGCGGTGCCAAGGACTGGACAGGGGGTGGGGGACCCGAGGCCAGCAGCGCTCCCTGCAAGAGGCAGAACAGTGGCAGCATGGGGCAGTAGGTGCTCCCCCCCCATCATTCTTGATGGGCAATTGGCTAGTGTTTTCATAATAGCCAAGCTCCAGAGCAGCCTCAATTCTTAGAATCATAGGACTAGAAGAGCTGAAGAGGCCCTCTAGTTCAGCCCTCTGTTCCAAGCAAGGTTGTCCCTGTCTAAAACATCCCAAACAAATGTTTCTCACCTGGACTTAAAATACTTCCAAAAATGGAGTAACTTGTTCCATGCTTAATCACTTCCACCTCCCTTTTAATTTATGCTCTTACAGAAATTATGAACTGGGAGTACCAAACACATCAGAGATTTGAGTTCTAAACACACTGCCCCAGATATAAAAAGAAGAGTGCCTGCAAACATTTTTGAGAGAGAGTATATTTTAGTTCCTTCCTAATGTATTATAGAAGAAGCTTATATATGAATTCTGTTATCCTGCAAAATAATATTCTGAGTTTTAAAGAAAAAAGTGAGGTCTTTATCTGAGCTTCAAGGTGTGGGTTAATATAATGAATATATGAATATATTACATATGTAATAAATATACAGAATATATAATATAATGAATTATATATGGCTTCTCTTTTTTTGCTATAACTCCTCAGTGTTGATGGAAAAAGAAGAAATAAGCCAGTGTAAGAAGGCCAGTCATTCTGCTCCAGATCAGCCATCCTGGATGGAACTTGCCAAAAAGAAATCTCAAGCTTGGAATGATATGCCACGGATTATAAAATAGGAGTCTGCACCTTGGACCAAGCATCTGCTGCTTTGGATAATGTTGTAGTCATCTTTTTTTAATGGCTTTAGACCAGGTATTTGCAATGAAAATCTGTGGAACTTGAGAAGGGCTTTATTATAAAGCTGTGGAGAAAGAGTGCAATAAGTGCAATCAAAAAGCTTACCTTAACCTCTTGTAGCAATCAGGATGGTACTAGAAATGGTTTAAGCCACTTTAAGGACATTGTTTTTCAAATTTTTCTGCAAGATATAACTTTCTGCCTTATATGGTACGTGTATTTTCCCCTCTCTAATGATATTTGCATAAAACCAAGGTCTTTGTAAAGCCACGTGGAGCTTCTGGATGTAAACGTGTTTGTTAAACTTTCTTAATTTTATGTTTGTCAGTTGTCCGCTAACATTTTGATTTTCTGAATTTGTCTGGTATATCTTTTAACTGAGGTGTTTGGACCAAGGGAGTACTCACGAATTTTATTTTTAGTGAGTAAGCTATCAAACATTCACTATGCGGAATTTGCTCTTTGGGCTATGTGATTGGTTAGCTAAGGTGCTTGGTATGGTTTATAATATGTTAATTTGTGCATGAGTAAACTTGTTTGAGGAATTTTCATTCATTTTCATGCACAGATATTTGTGTGAACAAAACTCACCGCAGAAATGGTCATAGAAAAGTGAGTAATCGGGAAGCAAATTCAGATTTGAATCAGAATTGGAATTCCATACATATATTTATGAATATTTTTTTTTCCTAGAATTCACCCAGCTGCTGCTATTCTTTCTTTATGAGAAAAATGGCTTGTGGTATGATAATTAGTGCTTATGGTATGTTTATGATACCAAGGATAAAGATTATGAATGTAGATAAAGAATATTAAGCATGACCACATGGTTGGAGCTTCACCTCAGTGGTTAAAAAAGCAAGAACTGGACAATTGAGGCACTTCTGAGCTCTATGACCACATAAACTTAATTCCCTTCTTTTCCTCCTGCCTCTACACATGAATTGTAATAAGAAATGGAAAGTTCATTATTCCTTCCCACACTGGATTAAGACTGCCATTTTCTTTGTGCCCTCAACTCCAGTTCAGTATTCTGTTCATGAAGTCTAGTGGGACTGTCTATGCTGCCTGTGTAGCGCTGATATGGGAAATAATGGCTGCTAGTTGGCAGAGTTCACACGAAATACTGTGTTCTGCCTGTTCTTTGGCTGTACGATCTCAGCTAAAAGAAGCTAACAACAATCTGTTAGCAAATGTCCTAAGATCAATGTGTTTTTGTTAAGGCAAGTGTTCTTCACTCTTGTAAGAATGTTACGTGAAAGCTATGGGGTGGTTTTATTGTGTTAGGAGGTGGAGGGGACTTTCTTAATCTCTTATAAATTTGTGGTTTGTTTGTATTTTGTTTTTGGGGGGTTTTTTTGTTGTTTTTTTTTCTTGGAACACTAACAACCTTTTCAGATATGTAGGGAGACTGTCACTTAGAATTTCCTGTTTTTCTGATGCTGGAAACCACGTGTCCTGGGTCGGTGTGGGGGATGGAAAAACACTGGGTGTAGAAGCAACTTTAACCTTTTAATGAAGATTTTTGCGAGTGAATAAGACATCAAAGCTTCTGAATGCTTGGAACCAGTTGTGTTGTTTCAGGCAGGTCTCCTTAGTAATAGAAAATGAGGGTGGGAGAGTCTAGAAACACTATTTTTCTTCAAAGAATAAAAACTAAACTTTTTTTAAAAAGACAAATGCCATCATTTGTATCATGAAATTAAAAAAAAATGCTTGTTAGAGCCTTTTGCGACAGGAGCAACCTATATCTGTAGTTAAAGGACCTGATACTGCAGTACCGTTCTTAGGCAGAACTTCTGTTGATCTCATTGGAATTACAAATTTCAAGGCAACAGTTCTTGTAAGTGTTTGAAAATCAAGAGCAGCAGTAGTTGTCTAAGTTATGCAGTGTTAAGGGCTGACTTCTGTGAATTTTTGGATGATCTAAAAAAAGTGAAGACTTTCCTTACGTTATATGTAAAAAGATGTTTGAGAGCAAAGGTCAGATTTATATTTAAACTGCCACAAAGCTGTTTGCACAGTCAACCTTCACCTTGTTCCTTGTTACTGTGCGTTTATAGCATAGTCTTTAATCATGAATTTTTCAAACCAGACAATTTATACTATATGTTTGTGTTAAATGTGCTAGAATATGAAAAGACCATTTTTAGGTACCGTTAAAATATCATTAAACCCGCCCCCATAAATAAAATTTTGCTTTATGATTTTCACACGGTTTTTTACTTAAAGACTGTATTGCATCTTGCAGCATTCCTGAGACAGCCCTAAAAGAAAACTGTAAACACATCTGAATTTTTTTTTTTAAATCTATGTTATTTGATTATTACATGCTCCAAGCCTCACTGAAGAGTAGATTGCTTTCAGGACATTAACTTGAAGAGCCAAGATTCATGGTTTGTTATCCTTCTTCTTAGTTTTCTCTACTAATAATTATTGAAAGCAGGTCTGATCACTGCTGAACCTCTAGGTTGTGAGTACTGTAACTACAAAGGGAAAGCATCACATTCTTCCTCTCTGTTATTGCTAGACGGACGTTCAGGATAGTGAAGATCTGTAGTAGAGTCTGTTCAAATTTCCTTCACAAGTACCAGTTACAAAAAAAATAGATCTCTCACATATGAGAGAGTTCTAAAAAAACAGTTCTTCTATATTTCTCAATGGTACATGCAGCTCAAATATTAATGCAGTGTTTTTTGTTTGGTTCTTTAAGTGTTTTGGGTGAAATCCTAGTGCCATTGAAGTCTGTGAGTTTTGTCAGTGAGCTCAGTGTGAACAAGGTGTGCTGACTCCCACTAACTTGGCTTATATTTATCTTTTTTTTTTTTTTTTAACGATTGATGGTTTGTAGCAGGAGTAGTAGCAATTGGCTACTGTGGGCATGCTCTTGGATCCATGGACGCCAACAACAAAACTTCCACTATTTCAGTGGAAACAAGCTCTAGTTTTGCAGGGTGTTTAGTGTGACATGGCAGTAGCTCAGAACCTTGAAGGATCACATAAGTCAGTCTTAGCCAATTGTTAAACAGTCACTATTATCCACTCAGTCTGGTGAACAGTAGGTCTGAACTATTTCAATCCAGCCTGTCTTCCCTCAACCAAATAGGCTGTATTAGGCAATACAAAGGTGTAGCATAAATGTATTGATAAAAACTTGCTCATAAGGAAGCTGAGCTACATTTTGCATTTTCTACAAGGTGGAAAAAACTTTGTAAACAGTTTTACTGTGGATGCTAGTGTACTCTTCCAGTTAGGAAGCAAAATGGTTGACTGACTCAGCAGGATCCATTTTGCTAGAGGAACTGCAACAAGAACCAAGCAATACCCGTTTTCTTGTGCAGGGACCGGGACTTCCCTGCTGTGATAGAAGCCGGACGCGAGGGGATTGCCTTCAGACCTCAGGTTGGGGAGGACCGGGTTAGAGAGCTTCTGGAGGCTGGACGCGTTCAAGTCAGCGGGTCCGGATGCTCTCCACCCCAGGGTGCTGAGGGAGCTAGCTGGGGTTATTGCAGGGCCCCTGGCACGGCTCTACGAGCGATCGTGGTGCTTGGGCCAGGTGCCAGACGATTGGAAGGTAGCTAATGTGGTCCCCATCTTCAAAAAAGGGAAAAGGGAGGACCCGGGCAATTATAGGCCCGTCAGTCTTACCTCAATCCTGGGGAAGCTCTTTGAGAAGATCATCAAGGAGCACATTTGTGATGGGCCGGCATCAGAAATGATGCTCAGGGGCAATCAGCATGGATTTATTAGGGGGAGATCATGTCAGACCAACCTGATTGCCTTTTATGATCAGGTCACAAAGGCCATGGACGCAGGTGTCGCGGTGGATGTAGTCTTTCTGGACTTCAGCAAGGCCTTTGACACCGTCTCTCACCCCATCCTAATTAATAAACTAGGCGACTGTGGCATAGATGCCTACACAGTCAGATGGATTGCAGATTGGCTGAAGGGTCGCACTCAGAGGGTGGTGGTGGATGGATCATACTCGACTTGGGGGGAGGTGGGTAGTGGAGTCCCCCAGGGCTCGGTCCTGGGGCCTGCGCTGTTCAATTTCTTCATCAGCGATCTTGATGTTGGGGTGGAAAGCAACCTGTTTAAATTCGCTGATGACACCAAAATTTGGGGGGAGGTGAGCACGCTAGCAGGGAGAGAGAGATTGCAGAAGGATCTGGATAGGTTACAGGGGTGGGCAAACAGGAACAGGATGTGTTTCAATACGGACAAGTGCAGGGTGCTGCACTTGGGTAGTAGGAACCAGCAGCACACTTATACGATGGGGAACTCCCTACTTGAGAGCACGGAGGCGGAAAGGGATCTTGGTGTCATTATTGACTCCAAGATGAACATGGGCCGACAATGCGAGGTCATGGTTGGCAGGGCTAACCGGACCTTGTCGTGCATCCACAGGTGCATCTCGAGTAGAGCCAGGGAGGTGATCCTCCCCCTCTATGCGACGCTGGTCAGGCCGCAGCTGGAGTATTGTGTCCAGTTCTGTGCGCCCCATTTCAGGAGGGATGTGGACAACATGGAGAGGGTCCAGAGGAGGGCCACCCGCATGATCCGGGGACAACAGGGCAGACCCTACAGTGAGAGACTGCGGGACCTGAACCTATTCAGCCTCCACAAGAGAAGGCTGAGGGGGGACCTGGTGACCGTCTATAAACTCACTAGGGGGAACCAGAAGGGTTTGGGGGAGACGCTGTTTCCCCTAGCCCCCGCTGGCATAACAAGGAGTAATGGGCACAAGTTGATGGAGAGGAGGTACAGATTGGACATCCGAAAAAACTACTTCACAGTTAGGGCGGCTAGGAGCTGGAACCAACTTCCAAGGGAGGTGGTGCTGGCTCCTACCCTGGGGATCTTTAAGAAGAGGCTGGATACCTACCTGGCTGGACTCATTTGAGTCCCGTTTTTTGTTTAGGGTTCTTTTGTTGTTCTCCCGCCCTGGCGGGGGGTCGGGCTAGAAGATCTATTAGGTCCCTTCCGACCCTAAAACTATGAAACAATACAGTATCAAATCTATTGAAATAACATGGCCTTAGCAATAAAGAAATATGGTTTTTAGCTAAATTAATACAGCAATCAAGAAAACCATGAAAGTGAAGAGTAGGAAGCCTTAGTGTTTTTTCCTCTCTCAAAACGCATGGACTGTATATTTAGGAGCGGTCCTTGTGCTGGCTGTTGAATGACTGAATTTCAGTGTTGAAGCTGGCTGTTGTTCTGAGTACATTCAATGTGAATTAAATTGTGTTTTATGTTTCTAAATCTGAAAACTGTAGATTTTGTGACTTTACATGGTATTTTCTATTTTGCTTAATGTAATATAGTTACCTCCTAATGTTTATTCCAGTAATTTTAAGATTAAAAAATCACAACTAAATGATTTTAATATTGTATAGATAATTGTAATAAATACCTTTTTAAGGCCAAAATATCTCTCCGGCCTTTTCTTCCAACTGGTGTTGTTTTGCAGTGTCTTGTTTTTAACAGAGCATGTTTACCAAATCTATTCCCTTTTTTAGGGGCAGTTTGGGCTAAAAAACCTTTTTATCTGTGTCCCAGGGACGCTGGGGTTAGAAGGGTACCCCGGGGCCGGACCAGGGGGGGAGTAACCAACTACTTACCCCACACAGAGGCCGGAGCGAGTAGGGACACGCGCGCGGGGAGACCGCCAGCGCGGTTTGTGAGCCGCGCTTATATCCAGCTGGGGCCGGGCGAGGCCGGCGGGAGACGCTGCCCGGCTGAGATAAAAGGCGGCCCCGGAAGCAGGGCCAGAGAGGAGGCGGGGGAAGCCCGCAGGGAACCCCGAGAGCGGGACCCGTGCCAGCAGGGCACGTGCATCTGGCCCGACGGGGTCAACCGAGGCAGCGGCGCTGACTGCAGCGGTGGCCATG